TTTATAACATTACTCAAGTTTCGATCATGGATATAGAGTAGAACTTTCTCTAGGACATGCATCATCATAACATCCCCTCTATCTAATCTGAAAGTAGAAGTTAGATCACTCAGACGTTACAGACTGAAACTGATACACCTAATAACAAGGTAGACCATCGACGAGATTTACAATGTCATTACTGCGTCTCTGTGTCTGAGTTATGGCTGCGTAGCTGTCAGCGCAGGTTTTTCATGCTCTATAACTGAGAACTGACCTCCAGGGGGATTTCTCTCATGATATGTCTGGTTTCACAGCTCGTCACACGCTGCTGTCATCAAGTCGAACAGATGTGACCCAGTACCTGCCGTGACAAAGCCGTGTAATTGAAGTTCTGTGATATTCAAATTGTTCAGGCTGATTTTTTTTCTCCTAGTCAGTAGACTGACTTTTAAACTGTTTGTTCACTAGTTTCTTTGTGTGTCTGCCCCTTTGCTGATGGGATTTTTTTTCTCTCTGTAACTGTGCACAATGACAGAAATGTTTCTTTTTCTTTCTTATCTTATAAAGTATAAAAACCGTAGACCTTTTGTGAATTATCTTTTTTATTTGACACACATTTCACAGGAACAGATTTGTAACCTGGTGCTTTTGCAGATCCCATTTTCAGCGTTTGACTATAAATTAGTTGAACAATATCTCTTTTTCTCTCACTGTCCTTGTGTAATCAACTGTCTGAGAGTGTGAAAATACACTGAGTGAAAGCTCTGTAATAATTCTATCTTATTTTACTTCTGAGGCCTGTGCGAATCAACAGGGAGGACACTGGCTTGACAAGCCATAATCAGTCAGACAAACCTTAATCAGCTGTATTCGTCTCATATTTTGAGACACTTCAGCCACAGTTTAATTTTGTGTGTGTGTGTGTGTGTGTGTGTGTGTGTGTGTGTGTGTGTGTGTGTGTGTGTGTGTGTGTATACTGTGTTCACATGGTTCACAGAGTGTTTGTTTATGTCTGGGTGTGTATTTGTGTATGTAAGTGTAGGTTTGTGTCTGTGTACGTATATCTCAGTTATTGAGTGGGAGTCGTGGTGTGGGTGGGGTTCAGTTTTCAGATTGGATCTAGATGACAGTCGGGATGCTTTGTTGTGGTTTGGGGCCCGCCTGGCCTTGGTCCTTCTCCTGTTTCTCTGCCCTATTTTGCTGCCACACTGTGTGTTAGACTGAAGACAGCGTTTAACCTTTAGCACAGACTCTACAGTTGTGAAGATAAAAGGTGGCTTTGCTATCTGAGGCGCTATGATGGTGCCGATTAGATGTTGAAAATGACACTTATAAGATAATCATCAGTGTGTTTGTTTTCATTACACTTTCCAAAGTATCACATGGATCTCCTTAGGGTTCTTTTTTTGTCTTTTGTAGACTGCCTGTCTAAAGACTGTATTCTGAAACATATGAGTTTGGTGATAATAAAGGATTTATTACCACTAGGCTCTTATTTTCAATGCTTTTGCCTTTATTCCTATCGGTAATAATGACATTTAATTCACCAGGTTAATTGCAGAGATCCGGAAAACACATCATCATTCCTAAAAAGAAGTCTGATGTGAGTGTGACCGAAAAAACAAACCTCCAGGTTAGACAAACTTAATTAAAAGACTAAATGAAGGGAAACATTAAAGTTATGGCCAAAACTGTCCGATGTAAATATCCATCAGGGTTAAAGGTTCAATTTATAACCTTTAGGAGGCAGAAATTTCATGTAATATTCATAGGTATGTTTTCATAAGTGTATAATCACCTGATAATAAAATTATTTTCTGTTTTTGTCACCTTTTATGAGCCGTTTTTATCTACAGTGGGAGAGGTTCCTCTTCGCCGCCATCTTGAACAGCCATATTAGCTATGGCCCAGAATAGACAGACCAAACACTGGCTCTAGAAAGGGCCCTTTTCACCATACCTTCCCCTACATGCTTGGAAAGTGAGCGGTATTCAGTTGGTTGCAATCTGTAACTTCACCACTCGATCCCACTAAATCTCACACACTGGTCTTTTAACAGGCCACACTTGTGCAGTTTCCTGTGCAATGAGAGTTACTACTACCAAATGTTATTACTAACATTTCTGGTGCACTCATTTTAGTTTTTCCCTCCAAATAAAGTGGTTTTGATAACCTGGCTGAAATGTGATCTGAAAGCTTGTGTTTCTTGCCACATCAGACTTGCCCTGTTTCCTAGATTTCTTCAATACTGTGGTGAATAAGGTAATAAATCTGATAGAAAACGCTTTATTACAGTGAATTATATAGCTGTTGAGAATCCATTTGCCTCAACAACCTTTCCCCTTGCCTAAAACATCACCACCTAATTGACCAACAACTAGTGTTTTAAAGGATTAAAATAAAAATATTTCTTCCAATGAATATGTTTTCTTTCCTCCACTGCAAAAACTATATATATGTCTGTAATCTCTTTGGCGCAGCACCACTGGCTGACAGAGTGACCCTTAGCTCCGACTCCAGTATGTTTCCTCCAGCTGATTAAGTGCATGGACAGGAAGTTTTCCATATTCTTCCACACATCCGTTCAGAAACAAGTAATGCACCGGCTATTGTCTTGAAAGCAGTCCAACCTCCTCAGAACCTATTATGCAAGGGTCTGTGTGTGTGTGTGTGTGTGTGTGTGTGTGTGTGTGTGTGTGTGTGTGTGTGTGTGTGTGTGTGTGTGTGTGTGTGTGTGTGTGTGTGTGTGTGTGTGTGTGTGTGTGTGTTTGGGAGGACAGATTTTACCCAAATGTTCTAATCTTTTCATGGAACAAGAGATTCCTGTCCGTGTTCTGTTTACCTAATCCTCCCTGTTTTGATCAAACCTCAGAGTTGGTGTTGGATTAACTGATTGTGTAATACATTGGTTTCACTCCTCCCTCATCACAGCCAATTAGCACATCTGGCCTGCTACAGTCAGACCTAGCCTTTAGTCACAAGCTGCTAATCCACATCCCATCAGTAGGCAATCTCCATTTAACATAACAAAATCCCAGCCAGGCCTAAAGCTGTCAGGCCTCTCCACTAACCACTGATGTACTGTCTCTGAATACCTGATTTTGCCTCGTCCTCAGTGGCTCCTGGCCAAGAAGCAGCGATGCTCTGTGTTTGAGCCCGTCGCCCGCCTGCCTGCCTGCCTGCCAGCGTGCCTTGTCATTGAGATAATAGCTGTTTTCTGTCTGTTTTTGTTCAGCCTCTGGGCTTTTGTCATAAGGTGTCAGTCTTTGTGTTTTACTGCAGGGAGATTTACCTGCAGCATGTTCTGCTTCAGGGACCTGCAGCTGGTGTAATAGAGTGACTAAAGAAAGACTAAATGCATTAAGTGGCATTGGAGTAGAAAACTGTTCTGTTGTTGCTTGTTCATTCTTTATAAAACATCCACGTCTAACAATGAAAAAGTGAGAACAGCTGTGAGAAAAACAGTATCACTTGAGCCTGTTTTAACACAACTCGGTATAATGTTTGAGTTCTTGTTAAGTGAATATTTTTCCAGTTCAGCAGCATGCCAGATCAACTTTCAGAGGGGAATGACTGGATATGAATCTACATGCAGTGAACCGTGAATCAAATGCATGCACACACACACTCGCACAAGAGCCCCAGAATATTTTGCGAGCACCCATAACCCTCCCTCTGTGAATTCACCTCAACTATTTCTCTTTCCACCTCAAGAACAATAAATCTCTTCTCTTACTGTGTGCATGTCGGTGTCTGCGACAGATTAGCCGGGTGATTTAAACTCTCGAGGGTGGAGGCTTTTCTTGGGGAAATGACCTGGCTTGCTACTGGCAGCCCTGGCTCCTCTCCTCCGAGGTGAAAGGGCTTTTACAGCTCCTTTGTTTTCACTGTTTGCCCGTGTAAAAGAGTGAATAGAACATGCTTTCAGAGTGATGGAGTGCCATATGGAGTGTGTGTGGAGAGGAGTGGTCCGAAAAGTCATGTCAAAGTGACATACATCAAAAATGAAATGATCTTCTTTTTCATGATGAGCTCTTGAAATCAGTCAGTGACTCCCTTGGTCCACTCCCCTTGCGTTGGTGTTGGTGAACACCAGAAGAAGAATGTGTGTTTTAATTAACGTGCCTCAGTGGGCAGTGGGCAGTGCGCAATGTGACGCCGGTTTCCTGTTGAGGGGTCAGCTTGTGGTTTACGCAGCTTGATCTCACCCACTCCCCAAGGAAGAATACACACACACAACACACACACGTGCTCTCCCTCTTGCTCTCACACACATGCGCTGGAGAGGATTAACAGGAAGAATGCTCTCTTACTTGTCGTGTATGTTCTGAAGAGCGAAGGCAGACTGAGTATAAACCACTTTTCCCAGAGGACAGAAGCGGAACCATCAGTGCAGTTAATGGCTGAGAGTCACATGGAGTGAACTTTAGGATTATCTTGTTTTGAGGACAGAGGAAACTGCTCACCAAACAGCTGGAGTGATGGGAACGGAGACCGACTTAAACATGTTTGGGTTTTTTTTTCAATGTAGGGAAATATTTCTTCCTTCAAAAACAACTTTTTCATGTTTTTGTACCATTTAACTTTACACTGAATGTGAAGTTGACAAATTTTTTGGGGAGTTATATATAGTACATATAGTAAGAATTGCCAGGAGAGACTTAAATTAATATTTAAAAAGTTACGCGATAAAAGATTGAAACAATCTGTGACACTGGGGTTCTGAGTTATGAAATATGTATTTGAATTTGCCAAAGGATTCCGACCCTGTGACCTACTAAACTGCAAAATGTCTTCTTCAAATATCTGAACTGCAAAAGTTGCACCTGGGTGAATCTTTTCAATATTGTTGTAAAAACAAGTTTCTAAAAGAACGAACTGCAGAGTGATATAAATTCACTAATGTATCACACCTAGATATTTACTGAATCACGTTGGTGTTGGATAACATCCCTGAGTACATTTTCACTCTTGCCTCCCCTCATGACCGGCGCCAGATGATACGGTTATAATTTCTCCATTTATTATCAAGCCAGTAAAAAGAACAAAGCTCCCCCACCCCGCCATGCTTGTGTGGTGGTGGGGTATTTGCCATTTGTTTGTTTAAAAGGGCGTGGGGGAGTGCTACAGTAATCTCTCCCTTTCTTTTTCTTCTTTCTTCGTTTTTTTTTTAAAAAGTTCATTACCATCACCAGAGGCGCGTCGTAGGGGTTAACTTAGCGAGTTGGGGAGCGCCAGGGCGCACACAGTGGAGTAGTTGTGTCGATCACTCCCGCAGAGGCGATGCCCTTTTGTGGAGAGGTCTCTTGTCACACAGAGGACAGACGGCATTCACAATTGGGACACAGGGACACAAAGAAGAAAACTGCATTTTAAAAGGCTCCATTCTTTCCCCGCTACCGCTGGGTGTTGACTGTGGGTGTTTGAGAGAATCTTTGTTGCCCGGAGAAAAGTAGAGAAGAAGAATACGCGCCGTGAACGGGTTGGGGGATTTTATGGACAGGGTTACTACAGTGCAGCCGATGCTGTCATCCACTCCACCTCTGTCTGTTTTCCCGGAGCGACTAGTCTTGTTTTGGATGAGGAGCGGAACTTTTACGCATTGTTTTACGCACTGATTGTATGACTCGCGACAGAACAGGACACTGTCATAATGAACTCTCTCTCCCCGGTACCTGCGGGTAAGCAGTTTGAGCCAAATCATTAACTCCAAGGAGAAGTAATTCTGTGGATATCTGCCTAAAGGATGCCAGTTGATAAATTCGCAAACATGGAGGAAAAACTGTGGATATTGGAGGACCTCAACATGATGTACATCCGCCAGATTGCCCTCAGCTTACAGGTAAAAGTTTATTTCAGTTTAGCAGTTGACCACCACTTGTCTCTGACCCTCTGCAAGAAATTGTGTTACTTTTATTTGCCTGTTTTCACACAACCTCAAAGCTTTGGGGTGTGTCAGTTGAAGAAGCATGTGTGATCATGTCTCACACTGTTTTACTTTCTTTTTCTTTATTGATTGGCTATTCAACCTGAATACAAGCAGGCTCTGTCGTAAGTGAAATCTTTTTTACAAACACGTCTGTCCTCCCCTTAAGTATAGTCCATCTGTGTTAACGAACTGAGTCTGCAGCTGTGCCTGAGTATGTTGCAAAATTTACAGAGGGTTTGGTTGAAGGATCTTTCTATGTGACAAACAAGTCGAGCAGACACCGGTGTGGTCTCCCCGTTTACAGATGGCAAAGCTCTCACTGACGGCAAACAGAAAACAACACTGCATGCCATCCATCTCTTTCTCTCTCTCTCTCTCTGTCTCCCCTTCCAACTGGGGTTCACACACAGTCCACAGCTGCACATATGGGCCTCATAAGTCCCTATGGGAGTGTGAGTGTGTGAGTGTAGGCTAGTATTGTGTTGTGAGAAAGACAGAGAAAGGAGTCATTCCATACAACATGACAAAGGGATCATTAATGCAATATCTAACCACATTTTTGCAAACCTCCACAATCTCTGTTCTTTTAATGAAGGAAATAGCTGAAGAATGTGTCTGTTTCATTCCTAACAGAGTTGAAAGGAAGAGGAGACACATGGCCATTGGAAATGTTACAGGAATTTCAAAGGAAAATTTTAATATACTTTATTTTCTGGCCCCATAAGCCAAAGAGATATTGGCTGTCTGTGCTGCAGCTGTTTAGAAGTGCAAAAAGCAGACAGTTTTCTTTCTCACTAAGTCAACTGAAATCCAGTCCAAGAAGCCGTCAGCTGTGTGACACAGGGGCTGTAAGAGAGCTGATATCACTCACTGGTGTGTTGTACCTGCTAGCATTCTGGCATCATTTTCATGTGTGAGGTGTCTTTTTGTTTATCTACCTGTGCCAAATGCCACAGAGCGTGCCAGGTGTTTTGGCTTTTTATCACATAAGAGGAGATAGGCAACTATGAAATGACACACACTCTCACCATCTTCAGCTTCTCTGGAGCCCAGTTTATTCTCTTTCTGGGATGTTATAGTTCCCTAAATGTTGAAACTCTCATTACACTTTAGAGCCACTTATGCTCAAGGGTACATTGCAAAAGGGATTTCCCTGAGGCTTTTGTAGGGCCTGGAGCCTGAAATGTCACAAATCAGCTATCACGAGGTCTTTTTACCAAGTTTATAGTGCATTGATCTGCTTATTAGTTCCTGTCACAGAGCATCCTTTGATGAATAAACTTGTTTACAGCCAGGCTTAGTTTGGAAAGTGGTACTTTGTCTGAATATTGAATCAAGGGCATTATGGTGGAATGTAGATAACAGGCATTTCTGTCTGAAGATCTTTGTCCATTTAAGCATTTTGTTGTCTTGATTCCAGTTTTATTTCTGTAGATGCAATTTAAAGGGTAGGAATGTATAATAACAAGACGATGAGCCCTTATTTAGCCCTATGGGAAATCTCCCTTGTTGCCTCTCCTCTGTTAGAGGGGGTTCAGAGGTCACGGTCAGCTGAGAGGTATTACTCTGCAATAACCCAGTGAGAATTTCAGTTTGTCGTATACAAAGTCGCATTCGTCTTCAACTCATATAAGTATATTTGCTGGTAAACACTCACACAGTCACTCTCTCTTCCCCTCCCTCCCCCCCATGTCTCTTCTGCCAGGGTGGGTTTATGAGACAGGGATTCTTTGTATGTTGCTGAGCTGCACGGCCCACAGCCTAACTGTAATTTCAGCTAGCTATGGATGTTTTTTTGCTCCAGCGTCTTTCATAAATGGTCCTGTTGGGTAATCACAACTTGCAGTTATTACACCGTAAACAGTTTTCTCTTCTTTTTGTTCTTCCCTGCAGCAACATGAGAAAACACTGAAAGACACTCCCACCTCATGTACACACATACACATATACATTTATAACATAAACAGTAATACCTTGTTGGTCCGCACTGTCCCATCTCAAAAGATAAAGAGTGTCTGTCCTTTTAAATTAAAAAGTGAGAAGATCATGTCCTGAGGTTCCAGCATTCCTCAGCTACGTATAATTGCTGTGTCAGGAGGGGAGAGAGAGCAGCCATTGTGTTATTTTCAAGCTCAGTGGGAAGTAACTCTTCTGCTCTTCAGGTTTTAACAAGTCTGTTATAATTGAAATGGCTGCATTCTTGGCTCCAGTGCACTGTTATCGTTAGTCTTTCCCTCCTCTCTTATGAGGCCCATAAGACAGTCACTGCTGTGCTTTTTCACTTGCAAAGTGTACAATTTTACCCCCAGAATACAGGATTGCTCTCAGAAGAGAGGTGGCTGATGGGAAACAGGAAATGGTCTTGTGTAATTACTGTTTCCCATCGGGAGCGACAACATGATGTCATTGAACCCACTGCCATTAATAGACACATACACACCATTTCCTGTCATCACAGACCCGGACACAGATTTTTTTTTTTTATTTGCTTGTCCCCCTGTTTCCTTCTCATATCCTGGTTTGTGGCCTTCCTTGCCTTCTCAGTCTCCGTCCCCCTGTCCTGTCCCCTTCTCCCCATCAATAGCCAGCGGGCCGTAGATGGACACTTTCTCACTGGTCTAATTTTAGCCTGCAGACTGGCCTTGAATACATGGGTCGTGGCTTTGCCAGAGTTAAATATGGCCATCTGATAAAAGGTTTTCTGAGGTCAATCATTTTTTCCCAACTTATAAAAGCAGGATTTGTCTGGTACATTTCATTCTGTAGGTCAGTCATTGTTGTGAAAGCACAATACTTTCTCTATGTGTGAGCGTGTATGTGTGTTGACCTCACTGGGTCAGAGTAGCCCAGCTCTACTCAGAAGGGGTGCAGCCTGGGACATTTAGCTGCAACAACTCTGGCTGCTGCTGATCATACCAGTGATATCATCTGATGAAAGATTTAAGAGGTTCCCTTTTTGGGTTCTGCTGCAGTTGTTGTAGCTATTAGGACCCAGAACTGACATAACACCATTTGTTGAACCTGTGGAAAACACAACCTGGGAAGTGAAGCTAAGAATATGTTATCGAGCAACTGGGGTTAGAAATTCCCTGAATTATGTGCTGAATAACAACACTGAAATAGTCTAAAGTTCAGTTAATGTTCGAATCTGTAAGCTTTTTCATTTTGATTGTATATCAGCATTCTCAAGTGTGTAACAACAAACAGAATTTCCTTTCATTCTTTTTGATTCCTCAGGATATTATGTTAGTAATCAGGCTGATACTAATATTTATTAACCAGTTCTATATAAGTCCTTAAGTCAAAAGAGAGAGACAGTTGTGGAAGCCCAACCTCTGACCCATGTTGGCGAGGGTGACTTTTTGTGTGGGGGTCAGGTAGGAGTTTTTTGCTGCCTCACCCGGGACTCGGGTTTGACCTCTCACACGCTCCCAAACCCTAAACTTAGCTGTGGCCATGCCACAGATAGTTCTGCAGATTCTAGACATCACAGACTGGCCTTAAATATCCATTGACTGGTATCCACTGTCTTTCTCTGATCTCAGATCACTAAGCTGCCTTGTCCGATTGATTGAGTGCGACTTATCAGAAGTTAGTCTGTTTACCCAGATCAGTGCAGCTCCTGTTTCTATTTTAGACTAAACATTCCCCTTCTGTATATAAAGCCTTTTGGGTTTCAGCTCTGGTAACAGATATTTGGACCCCGCAAACCCTGCATGCCTTCTAAATGTAGGAGGTCCTGGAGGGCAAAGGCCAAATTGACAGCAGTTAATCCTTGCCTGCTCAGGGACAGTAAACCCGTATCCTCTGGTGCGCTCTGGTCAAACTGATGAATCTCAGCCCTCATGATGAATTTCTAGTAAGAGCAAAGGTTGATCTTATTTATTTTAGGCCAGCAAAACAATGCAATGTAAGGTTTAGCTTCAATGCCCTGTATTACCTGGACCGGGACTTGTAGTTGCATTTTATGTCATTTGTAATCTTTCAATCATCCTCTTCATTTATCATTGTCACCATTAATTTCTTCATTCTTTATTTTATTGCCTCTTCTGTCATTGTGAAAAATCCTTGTAGCTTTTTCATCAGTATCAATATATCCTTCCACGAAAAAGCAGTCAGCAGTTGAAATCTGTGTGTGCATCTGTAGGCGACTGTGTGTGTATGTTAGTTCAGCTGTGAGGTTGTTTAGGTAGCCTAAGTTACACCAGACCTGCTTGCTTCAGGGGAAGGTGTGCTAAAGCTAACAGCGCTCGCTCTCTTGTGATACAGAATACACAGTCGTATCTGAGCCAAAACACATTCCTCCACAACGGACCACTTCATTGTACACTGCTCCTTGCTGAGCTCGTCTGTGTGCGTCTGTGTGCTCCTGAGAGTGTGTGAGTAAATATTTGCAAAGATTAATAATAAACCAATACTGTAAGCTATATAATCAAGTGGAGTGCTTTTATTTAATTAGGTACATTAGGTTTACAAACTTGGATTTCACCGTGAATGTGAGTTTTTTTAATGGGCTTTTTGCATTTGTTTTAAATTAGATGAAAAGAGTTTCCTACAGTCATGCAACAGCCTAAAATAAAGTGAAACAGCCTAGTTTATTCACTTGTAAGTGTTATGTGCATGGGTTTCAGTCTGTTTGCTGTGTGTGTGTGTGTGTGTGTGTGTGTGTGTGTGTGTGTGTGTGTGTGTGTGTGTGTGTTTTGTATTTGTAAGTGTGTCTTTGGCATCTGTACCATGGATAGTTACAGTGAGTTCCAGTTCTCCCAGTGCTGTATGCCAAAAGCAGGCACGGTGTGTGTGAGGTAGAGGAGAAAGGAGGCTTTGTATTACATCACACACACCCAGAGCTCCCTACCAAGCCCTCCTCTCCTTCTTGGAACCGCACATCTACCTCCTGACCCTCACCCATCTTT